CCAAAAAAAAAAAAGAAAGAAAAAAAAACTTTAAAAAAACACTAATAATAAATAAAGTAATTCTTAAGAAAAAGGACTGCATTCTTCAATTTAGCTACATGTGTAAGTTTGTCTTGGAACGGACAAGGATAGTGGGCTTCACTACTGAGAAGCACATTTGACTTCGGTCAAATTAGTAATTGAAGCCCAGAAGCAAATTTGGATGGACAGGACTTTTTCTTTTTTTAAGAATTTTATTAACATTTATTTATTTTAATTTGACCAGGGAAGGACAGAGAGAGCAAGAGAGTGGGAAAGTGAGAAAGCAAGCTGCCAGGTCCAGGACTAGAACTGCAGTCAACCATGTGGGAGTCCAGAACCCTTAACCACCATGCCACCTGCCAGCCCTAGATGGACAGGCCTTTGAAGAATTGCTGAAGAGTTCAAATTTATGGGAAGAAATCCATCAGGTGTGTCAGGCTGGAGGGTTATAGGTATAGTTCACAGTTAATCTGGTGTGGCATAGAGTGTTTGCGTAGTAGGGAAGTGACAAGGGAGGAAGCAGGCGAGCTCCTGGAAGGCGAGCTCCTCGAAGGTCCAGGAGAAGGGCGGGCCTCTAGGCATTGGGAGTCGGGTACATGCAGTCCTTCCTTGCCTGCCAGTTCACTGTGCCAGGCAAACCTGGTTGGGTCACCTGTGTTAGAGAACTTCTAGAAAGATAGTTCAGTTTGGGACCGCAAACATGATGTGTAATAGCTCTCTCCCAGGACTAAATAGACCATTCCAGATCCCATTGAGGTCTCCTGCGTTCCTGCTTGCGAGAGCCACTGTAAGGATGATGGGAGGGAAACCCAGGAGCGGATCACAGGAGCAGGAGACGCACCAGCAGCAGCCGTGTCTAGCCTTCCGGCTCTGGTAACTCTTGTGGGCCTTGCTTACGTACAGGTGCAGGGGCTTGCTTTCTTAGTAAGTTCACGGAAAGTGTAGAAGGGTTATTTTTAATTTTTCTGTGTGTCAGTTACTGAGTAAAATTCATCAGTCAGCTGTGTGGGAGTCCAGCACCTAAGGTCATTCTACCTGCCGGTAGCTGGAAGGACACACCCCACGTTGAAGTTTTTTGTTTTTGCGTTTTGGTTAAAGTTATGAATTAGGACTCTCAAGGGACGGCTCCATACACTCCAGAATCTGAATAGCACTTATTACAGCGAAAGAATGGATAGTCAGTTTCCAAGGGGTGTTCTTGTCTGTTTAACTGGGTTTGCATGATATACAAGTATTGCTTGGGAAATTTCCTTTTCATCCTTGTTTAACATTCTTTCAAGTTGGGTTGTCAGGTGGCGTTGTGGTTAAGGCACTGGATTCCACATGGCTGACTCTGTGGTTCGAGTTCTGCTTGATAAAACATGCTGGGTATTTGCACATGCATGTCCAAAATCCCAAGAGGAAAATAGAGAAGGGGTGTGGCCATCCCCCCCGGGGGGCAAGTTTTCTCTTTCCTTCTCTCTCTGGTGAGCACACATGCCCTGTAGTAAAAACTAAAAAGAAAAAAGTCCCTTAAAGTAGAACGCATTTTAATTTTTAAAATATGGGGCTTCAGCCTCTCTTCCTCAGTGCCCCCTACACAAGTGGCAGCCATCCCCTCCCCGGTCATGGCCACCCTCAGACACCTCATGAAGCCCAAGATCATCAAAAAAGAGGACCGAGAAGTTCATCCAGCATCAGTCAGGTCAGGATGTCAGAATTAAGCATAACTGGCAGAAACCCAGAGGTGTTGACAGCAGGGTGTGGAGGGGACTGAAGAGCCAGCTCTCGGTGCCCAGCATTGGTTGTGGGAGCAACGAGGAGACAAAGCACATTTTGCCCAGCGGCTCCGAGGAGTTCCTGGCCCGTGGAGGAGCTGGCAGCGCTGCTGACGTGCAGTCTCACTGCTGCAATCGCGGCCACGCGGTATCTCCTCCAGGAACAGCAGGGCCATGCTGGAGAGGGCAGCCCAGCTGGCCGTCGGAGCCACCCGTCCCAATGCCAGGCTGTGCAGTGAAGATGAGTAGGAGCTCGTGTGCACATTTTATTTATGTCTAAATAAAACCACAACCCCCTCAAAAAAAATAATAATCAAATATGGAGCTTCGGGCTCTGAATCAATTTGTCCTGAGTGCCTCATCACTGTAGGGCATTGCTAGCCCTGGGTACTGAGAGGAATCATGGATTTTCCCTTAGGGTCACGGAGCCCCTGGCCAGAGCTCATTTTCCCATGTAGGTGAATGAGTGTGGTCCGTGATTGAGGTTATTGGTTTCTCCTCACTTGAGCTGCTCATGCATCTTACTCACAGGAGCAATTGCCTTTGCCACCACCCGTGGCCAGTAACTGTCTTATCACTCCTGTGATAATGTTGCAACTAAGGGGCGTCAGGACTAACAGAAGGCAAAGGCTTTACTTTAGGGACTGCATGGCCCTTTGCTGTATAGGTCTTCAGACCGCAGAAATAATGTCATGTGTGAACCTATACTTACCAAGCAGTTGAGTCTGTGTTAAGAAAAATAAGGTATTTGGTTTCAGATTAACTTTATGATTCAAGCAGTGTTGGGACTCTATTCATGTGTTATTAAAATCAAAGCCTCAGGACCAGCAGTTGGTGTAATGGTTATGTCGATGGACTCCCATGAAGTTGACTGTGGTTCGAGTCCCAGACCTGGTGACTTAAACTCACGCCGGGTGCGTGTGTGTGCGTGCCCAAGATCCCGAGAGGAGAATGGAGGAGAAGGGATTGCGGCGTGGCCATCCCCTCGGGGGAGTGATTTCTCACTTTCTGTCTCTGTCTTTCTGTGGAGTGCACACGCCCTATAGCAGAAAACCTCTCCACACACACCCACACACACATATCAAAGCCTCATTTTCTTTTCTTTTTTTTTTTTCTTTTAAGTTTTGTTGTAGGGCACATACACTTACCAGAGAGAGGCGGGGGAAGTGAGAAGTCAATCCCTGTGGGGAATGGCCACCCCGCAATCCCTTCTCCCAGAATCTTTTTTTTTCTTTTTTTGGAGAAGTGTATTTTTGTGGGTTTTGGGGTGATTTTTTGTTTTGTTTTGCTATAGAGCGTGTGCGCTCGACAGAGAGACAGAAAGCGAGAAATCACCCCACAGGGGGGATGGCCATGCTGCAGTCCCTTCTCTTCTCTAAGAATCTTGGGCACGCATGCATGCACACGCACCTGGCGTGAGTTTAAATCACCAAGTCCAGTACTCGAACCGTGGTTGACTACATGGGAATCTAGCGACATAGCCATTATGCTACCTGCTGGTCCCACCTCCCAGAATCTTTAGAACACATGCACATGCGCTGGGCGTGATTATCAAACCATCAGGTCCGGGACTTGAACTGCAGTTGGCCATGGTCCCCCTGCCCACTGCATTTTTCAAGCTGCCAGGGCACTGGGATTCAAATCACCATCAGCCATGTGGGATCTGACTCCCTTAACCACCAGGCCCCAGGGACAGCCTAATCAGGAGCCTTTTCTGAAGTGATAAATAACGAAAGAACTCTGGATTAAGTACCATTGTACTTCTTTTTTTTTTTTTTTTTTTTTTTTTGGAGAGGTTTTTGCTATAGGGTGCATGTGCTCACCAGAAAGAGAGAGACAGAGACAGAAAGCGAGAAATCATCCCCCAGGGAGATGGCCACGCCACAATCCCTGCTCCTCCATTCTCCTCTCGGGATCCTGGGCACGCACGCACACGCGCCTGGCATGAGTTTAAGCCACCAGGTCCGGGACTCGAACTGCGGTTGACTACATGGGAGTGCAGCGACATAGCCGTTACCATCTGCTGGTCCCATAGCATTGTACTTCTGTGATTCGTTTTTCAGTGGGTGTGCGCAGAGATGGGGAAAGAGGGAAGAGCTCCTTTCCAGGGTCTGGTCACACCATGATCACCTTTCTCCAGTACTCTAGCCAGTCGGAGTCACACTCATGAGTCTACTGGTGTGTTCTAGGTGGACCTGGCTAGGGATTGGAACCTGGGGGCTGTGTGAGATCTAGCTTCTCTTTTTTTGTTTCTTTTTTTTTAGAAATTTTTGCTTTAGAGCACATGTGCTCACTAGAGAGACACAAAGCGAGAGGTCACTCCCCCCCAGGGGGTGGCCACTCTGCAATCCCTTCTCTTCCATTCTCCTCTTAGGATCGTGGACACGCACACACGCGCCCAGCATGAGTTTTAAGCCACCGGGTCCAGGGCTTGAACTGCATTCGACCCACGTGGGAGTCCAGTGATGCAGCCATTAGGCCATCTGCTGGTCCTGAGACCTGACCTCTCCTGAGCGGTGTATGCTGGGCCACCTAGCCAGCGCCATCGTGTTGGTGATGTGGCCCACAAAACTGAGCAGGCTGTTTCCGCACTGAAGTCTCCTGTGACGCCACCTCACCTCCAGAATCACGTATTAGGTATATTTTGTATGGTTTTGTTTTAGCCTAAGAAAGTAATTTAAATTTTTTCCATCCCTTTGAAAAATCAGTACAAGAAGCGGCACCATACTAAAATTTTGTCCAAATGTTATTAGCAAAAATTGCCCTGGCTGCAGGCCCCTTCTCAGTCTGGACTCCCCAGTCAGTTTGTGGTGTGAGTGAACGGCGTTCATCGCTGTGCGGCCAAGTCCTTTGAAACTCCTGTTCCTCAGTTTCATGTCTTGCCTCTTTCCTTCCTCGTTGCAGTTTTATTTGAATAACAGGGCCACGTGAAGTGTGTGTTCCTTTTATTTTATTTTATTTTTTGAGAGAGATTTTTGCTATAGGGTGGTGTACTCACTGGGAACACGAAGAGCGAGAAAGTGAGAAATCGCACTAAGGGGGGTCGGGGGTGGCCACGCCTCAGTCCCTTCATTCTCCTCTCAGGTGTCAGGCACACTCACACTCGCACCCGGTATGAGTTTCAAGCTGCCAGATCCAAGACTCAGACCACAGTCAGCCATGTGGGAGCCCAGCACCTTAACCACTACACCGCCTGCAGGTCCCAGGAAAGGTAGCTTGTTAGGTAAAACGAAAGCACACTCCCCAGAGGTAGGAGCGCCTGAGCAGACAGAGGAAGTGTGGCTCAAGAGGCCATTGTCCCTTCCCAGGAAGAGGCGCCTGCCATAGGCTGTGGTGAGAGACGTGGAGTCCCCGGCCGGAGTGTTGTACTTGGGCTCCTCGAGAGGGAAGGTGCTCCCCGCATCGCGGAGGGCTCTGGGGTGATCCGTAAATCTGTAGGGTAGCACTGCCGCCCGACAGCGTTAGAGAATACTAGTAGCAGGCATTTGTAGGGTTCCCTTTTCAACTGAGTATATCAAAGAGCCTTTACAAGCAGGTGTCCCCGGTTTGTGTCCGGAGAAACTGAGGCATGGGCGATTGCGGGCACGCCCAAGGTCATAAGTCAGCAGCTCTGGAGACCGAGGCTCGTTTCCTCACATGGCAGGCACAGCCCGGGCAGTGTCCGTCAGCTGCTCGCGCGTTTCCCTCCAGGTAACTTGGGCCTGGCCTTCGGGGCCTGGCCTCTGGGGGTGAGGGGAGCTCAGGTTCCCTAACCCGCTCAGCCCTGGGCTCTGAGAGGCTTCCAGAAAGCCAGCCACTCACTGCCAGCAGTGAGGCGGATGGGACTCCCCGTGATGCCCCTGCACAGCCGCTGCAATGAGCTCAGGCCATCTTGGGCTGTAAGGTAGCATTGGTTTCACCATGGCTGACTGAGGCCGGATTGGGCCCGTACATGCTCACCGCCTGCTGTCACTCCTAGGGCTGTGTGGCCTAGGAGTGTCCTGAAGGTGAGGGAGCGGGCTGCGCTGTGCACGGCTTTCCTCAGGTGTTCAGATGAAGCCTCCCAGGCTTGAGGCCTCTGAACTGCAGGTGATGCCTGACAAAGCACCTAAAACGGTACTTGTCGGGACCCGCGGGTGGCGTAATGGTTACATTGCTGGACTCCCATGTAGTCAGTCATGGTTCATATCCTGGACCTGGCATCTTAAAACTCACGCTGGGCACATGTGCGTGCATGCCCAAAATCCTGAGAGGAGAAAGGATTATGGCGAGGCCACCCCCCACCACCACGGGGGGTGGTTTCTCACTTTCTGTTTGGCAAGTGCACGCGCACTATAGGAAAAATCTCTTTTGAAAAAAAGAACAGTATTTGTCATCCCTGGTCTGTATGCCAGCGAGGAGGCCTTCAGCACAGAGCCCTCCAACCTGGTGACTTGGGGAGGTCTGAGATCAGCCTTTCGGAACGAGGGGAGGCGGGGGCACAGGAACCAGCCAGCCCTGACTGTGGGGAGTCATATGGTGGGGGAGAAGAACCTGCCAGTCCGCTCATGCTGGGAAAATTTGACAACGCTGTTAACAGATAACAAACCAACGACGTGGCTGATAGCAGGGGAAGGGCATCCCTGAGGAGCAGTGTGACCAGAAGTACAAAGGAAAGGGGGACCAGCCAGGGTGGCCCGCGGCACAGCCTTCAGGAGGCTGGAACTCCACCGCTGCCTGGGCTGCTTCGGCGAGGGGAGCCGGGCCAGGTAGTGCTGTCTCCGGTGTGAGTCGGAGCAGCAGACACCCCGACTGTTCGCTGCCCCTGAGTTTCACTGTAAAGTGGTAATACAACCTTCATCCTGGCGTTTTCCTATTTTACCTCACAATTTCTGTTTCTGTTTCATGTTTTTGCATCTTTTGAGGGCACAGCCTGATTTTCGAAGCACGCTTACAGTATGCCACAGTCGAGGGCAAGGCCACATCCTCGTTTCCAGCAAGGCACACCGCATCAGAGACGCACGCACACGGCTGGCGGTGTCTGTTCTCACTCTGGTCCGAGCAGTCCCACAGCCCGCTTGCCCGTCTACCTGCACCTGTCCATGCTGTGTCCCCCAACTGCTGCCTCCCACAGCCTCTAGGACCTGCAGATGCCCTCTGTAGCCAAGCGTTTTCAGATCCTCCCTTGCTGCCGTAGGGCATGGACGCTGTGCCTACTGAGGGAGGAAGCCGTGTCCTTCACAGTCCAGCTTACCTCCCTTAGCCGCGGCTTCGAGTCAGCCACCTCGTCGTGAGCAGCAGGTTCTCACTGTTCCTTATGGCTGGGTTGTGCTCACACTGTGTTTTTGTTCCTTTTTTTTTTTTTTTTAAGAATCATTTTAGTTAACTTTATTTATTTATTTTAATTTCACCAGAGTGGGGCAGAGTGAGGGAAAGTGAGAAATCAGGCCACCAGGCCCGGGACTCAAACTGCGGTTGGTCATGTGGGATTCCAGCACCCTGAACCACCACACCACCTGCTGACCCCATGCGGTTTTTTTTTTTTTTTTTTTCCTTTTAATTGGCTATAGACCACGTGCATTTGGCAGAGCAGGCATGAGAGAGATTGGTGAGAAAGCACCCTGGGGACACACACTTACCTACTGGTTTTTGATGCCTTCAGGTCTGAGACTCACCAGACACTCACCCAGACCAAGTGGCCGATCATATGGGATCTATCCACCTTAACCACCAAGCCACCCGCCAGCCCCGCCTCTTGATGTTTTGTTTTGTTTTTTTGAAAGATTTTTACAATAGTATCCGTGCGCTTGCCAGACAGCCAGAAACAGAAAGCAAGAAGTCACCCCCCACCCCAAGGGGGTGGCTACACTGCAGTCCCTTCTCCTCCACGTACATGCACCCTGCATGAGTTTTAAGCCGCCAGGTCCGGGACCCGAACCGCGGTCTACTACATGAGAGTCCAGCAGCGTAACCATTAACACCATCTGCTGGTCCCCTCTTGAGGTTTTTAAAAATTGTTCTAATTGGTGTCTTCATGAACTTCAGTGTCTCAGGGAATATTGATACTCTTCCTTTGGTGCGGTCTTTTAATTTACTCTTGGCGTCGGTGTCAGGACACGGTGCGCTGTGTTTGCACCCTGTAGGGGAAGCAGTCAGATTGACTTAGACTAGCAAAGTAACAGGCCCAGCCTGTGCCCTGGTACTTAGGGAAGCTGTGTCCCAGAGGCCTGCCACCATGTGGTTCAGCTCCCAGGCCTGGTGGGGTACCCACATGCATGCCCCAGATGGAGACGGGAGGGGAATGGGGTTATGCCAGGGCTGGCCACATCCCATGTGGGGGTGATCTCTCTTTGTTTCCTCTGGCCAAACAAATAAATAAAATACCCATGTAATACATTTAATTCCAACAAGTGGATTCATTAGGACAGTTTCATCCAAAGACTAAGTGTATTGTTTTTGGGGTAATTTGATTTCTTACAGGATTGCACTATGGAAGCAGCCTAGTAAAAAAGTCATTTGGGGGGCCAACAGGTGGTGTGGTAGTTAAGATACTAGACTCCCACATGGCCAACTGAGGTTTGAGTCTTGGACCCAGTGGCTCACTTTCTCACTGTCTCTCTCTCTCTCTCTCTCTCTCTCTCTGTCCTTCTCTGTTCAAATTAAAATAAATAAATAAAGTTCAATAAAATAATTATTTTTAAAAAATTATTTGGTGGGGCCAGCAGGTGGTGTAGTGGTTAAGGCACTGGACTCCTGCATGGCTGACCACAGTTCGAGTCCCAGACCTAGCAGGATCTTGAAATTCATGCCAGCTATATACATATGCTTGCCCAGAATCCCAGGAGGAGAACGTAGACGGGACTGTGGCGTGACCATTCCCGGAGGGGGTGATTTCTCACTTTCCCTCCCACTGTCTGTCTGTCTGTCTGTCTCTCTCTCTCTCTCTGTCTCTCTCCAGCAAGCACACACACCCTGGAAAAAACCTTAAAAGGAAAAAAAAGCGCAAGCACACAAGGGCAAGGACCAGCAGTTAGTGTAATGGCTGTGTTGCTGAACTCCCATGTAGTCAACCACAATTCGAGTCCCAGATCCGGTGGCTTAAACTCATGCCAGGTGCATGTGCGTGCGTGCCCAAAATCCCTAGAGGAGTCTGGAGGAGAAGGGATTGTGGTGTGGCCACCACCACCACCACCCCCCGCCTCTCTTTCTGTCTCTCTGTCTTTCTGGCGAGCACACACCCTATAGCAAAAAAAAAAAAAAACTCTCCAACAACAAAAAAAAAGTGAGTTGACTTAGCTCCCTGAGTCCATATTCGAGTAGGTGTGGGCAGTTTAAACAGGTTGGTAGGTGGCTTACGGGGACGTCATACACAGGACCGGGCCCCTTCAGCTCTGGCTCCAGAGGGGGGTTTGGCTTTATCGGTTAGCTTTTAGGGTAGGGTTTGTTTCTACCGTCTCCCTCCGCAGGGTGTTCATGTATTTAGATGTTGTAGACCTGGGCTGGTATCTGCGATGTGAGCTTAGGCCAGGGGCCGGGCCCGTATCCTCATTCTTAGAGGTTTACCAGCAGGTGCTTCCTCTGTGAGGGACGGGGTAAATTTCATCTTCCCACTAATGTGTTTGTGCTCTCGCTACTGAGGTACAAGTTTTTACCATGCTCTATTTTTCTAGACTTGTGTTACATGTTTCATGGTTAAGTTACAGTTTAGTTCCCCTTAGTAGAAAATGAATGTCCCCAGCTGGTAGTGTTAGCGCACATCAGATACAGAAACGGTGTTTTCCGGTCAGGTCATGTGACGTTTCTCCTGAGATGCTGTATCCACCTGGCACTGTCCCCATGTCGCAGCAGATGGTTTGTCGTGCTCCCTGAGCCTGTTTCTCAACTGTGGTCTGCTAGACTACAACTCCCCCCGGTGTGTGGGAGGTAGTAGGCCACGGTGGCCGGTGGGGGGCTGGAGGTTAGAAGAGCCCCCAGGTGGGGCAGCCGGGCCAGTTAGCTGCTCTTAGTCCCCTCACCTGGGAGGTCGGCGAACCGCCAGCCAGTGATGGAGTGTGTGAAAGCACCGGGCATGCTCGGGGAGACATTTAGAGAGGAGTAGTTACTGTTACAGTGGGGTTTGAAGAGGAAAAGAGGTTAGAGGTCTAGGGGCTGGCCCCATGGCCTAGAGGTGAAAGGCACCGGGTCCCATGTACCCGACTGCAGTTCCAGCTCTGGCCTCTGCAGATTGAAAAACACACTGGGTGTTTGTGTGTGTGCCCAGAATCTGGGAAGGATAGAAATGGAGAAGGGGTGTGGTGTGACCGTAACCCGTGGGGGGGTCCTTTCTCCCTGGCCCTCTTCCTCACCAGCACATGTGCCCCTGGCAGTTAGAGGGGGGAGCATGCTAGTGACCTACAGCAGCCTCGGTGGTAGTGGGCGGAGTTAGCTGCAGCTAGGTTGGAGCGTGGGCACTTACCCCGGGTGAGCACAGTACTAGGTCTTACCTGGTCGCCGCTGTGACCCTTGAACGGTCGGAAGCTGCAAACCTAGTACTCTGATTTCTGGCCATCCCCACCCCCTCCATTCATGCCTTTATTTTGGCCCCAGCCCCTCTCTTTGTAAAATAATTCAGTGCATTCTCAAACGCACAATTCCTTCGGTTTCCGTCCACATCCACCACGTCTGTCTCCAATGCCCCACCTTCTCTATGCTGGGCTAGCTGGGCTGGTGTTCGCTGAGACTTAGAGCCAAAGAGACTCCAGGGGCTGACATGGGACCTCCAGAATGGGGATTGCACAGAATAATCTTATTTTTCCTCTGTTCTTCTAGTCTGTTATGTTCTGAACCCACACATGTTTTCGGAAGGACCAGATGGCTGACCACTGGCTAATGGGAACCAAAAGACGAGAGTGAAAGTGACCCGGTTGTCACAAACCCCCAGCTTAGAGGTGCTCCACCCTGCCCCAAGATCAATTTCCTTTTTCTCTGGAGACTTCACCCTGCTGTATCAAAAAACTTTGCTACAAGCTGCCTGTCTGAGGTTAGATTCTCATTACATAAAGCAATGTTGTTGAATGGACACAATTGTGCTCGGTACTGTGGGAGAAAAGGAGAAGCTTCTGCCTTTGAAAGCCAGTGGAACCTTGTGTGGGACTGGGATTTGGGATTGGGGGTCTGGGTTCAGATCCAGCTCCATACCCGGCGGTGAGCAAGCTGCCTGGCTCTTCACGCCCGTCTTCTCACGGTGCGGTGGGCGCCACTCCCACCTGGACGGAGCGTCATAAGTGATCTACCACGTTCCAAGCCCTGGGCTGAGCGCCCGGCGGTGTTAGCCTTGCTGTTAAGAGCTCGTGATCACGTGACAGGCAAGCATGGAGGGGAGAAGACCCTGGAGGGCCACACACGCTGCTGTGTGACAGCATACATGTGAGCAAAGGGACTGAAGAAAGTGCCAGAGTGGTTGGAATCAGGCATGTTTCTGAGGCTTCATGAAAGGAGGTTTCGGGCTCATGGAAGAAGATCGTTATGACTCAGCGTGTGTAGTTAGGGTGTTTCAGGTGTAGACAGGGCATAGGTGAGGGTTCTCGGAGGCACCATAAGCGGAGCAGCTGGCTCTGCCTGCTGCAATGTCTCCTCGGAAAATTGTGACATTCGACAAGCCCTCTGTAAAACTAGCATAGCCTAGGACTGAGTGAGCTGGTCAGACAGGGCAAGTCGGGCCAGCCAGGTGAGAGGGCTGCTGGCCTCCGCATGGACTCGGGCAGCCAGAGAGGAGTGGTCAGGAGTGACCACCAGGGGTCAGGTGTGACTCGGTGGTCCGGGGACTAGGAGGAGAGAAATCATGAGGTAGGTTTTCTTCTCCGAAGGTGGGAGATCAATGCAGCCCGAGCTGTGGCCGGCGTCTGCAGACCGGGAGTCCACACTAGCCCTAATCAGAGAGCCCTGGTGTGCGGGAACTGCCAGTTTGCCGACGTGAAAAGAGCCCCAGGCTGGGTACTGGTGAGCCCTGAAGCCGCAGCCCAGCTCTGCCACTCAGTGAGCAGCACGGGTAAGTCACTCACCGCCTCCGGGTGGCCTCGATGGCCTTCCCTCCTTGAGACTAAGAAAGGGAGGCCAGCGTGCCCAGAGCCCTTTCCCGATGCAGGCCAGGGAACAGCTCAGCTCAGCACCCCTTCCCGTGGTACCAGCTGTTGCTACTGGGCCCTCGTGGCCCCCGTCACCAGGGCGGTCAGACTGTGGCTGCTGTCACACTCTGAGCACCGCAGGTGACTCTGCTGGTTGGTTCCACTCGGAGGGCCAGGCCTCTGGTACCCCGGGGCAGTGCGGGCCTTTAGGCCCAAGGGCAGTCACGCTGTCCTCGTGCAAGAGCAGCTCTGAGTCGGCCTCACCTGGGTCTCGATCGAGGCAATGTGTCGACCTGCAGAGACCTGGGCACTGAGTGCCGGTGGCGGGAGCGTCCAGTGCATCGCGGTCCAGTGCGTGTCCTGACTGCTCTCACCTCGCCAGACCGCGCTGGCGGAAGCCCGGCTGGCCACTGGGCGCTTTGGAAGAAAGCTGTTGGACCCCTCTCACCCAATGCCGTTTCTTTCAGGGCAGACTGAAGGGCTCTGCCCTTAAAGTGCAGTGCCACTGACTAGCTTGAGGGCTGGCGCCACCCGTGGGTTTCCTTCACAGGCGGACCTATTCCCTTGGCTACAGCAACATCCCTAACCCCGACAGCCATGGAGAGGTTCTTACAAGGAACATGAGTGAGTGTGGGAGTGGCTCACCACTCTGGGAAACAAACTCACGTCCTGCTGATGGTTGGCCGAGGACTGTCGTGTCCAATACAGAGAAAAGCATGTGGCACAGTTTAGGACACAGGTGAGCCGAGCTCCACTGTGACAGGGGCATGTTCCCGGAGGGAGAGCACCTAGGCCTCGCCTCTTGGTGAGCAGCTGCGGCCCTGGCCACATGCAGGAGGCAGTGCCATCGGGAGCCCCGGCACTGCCCGCCTGTCTCTGGAGCAAGTCGGGCTCGTCTTGTGCAGACAGGCCACTTCCCCAGTCCCCCTGCTCAGTGACGACGTTCGAAGGCAGATCTCCGAAGCCATTCTGGAAGGGGGCGGCGATAAGCTCCACATTAGGGTCAGAGAGAGCTGTTGGGTGGCAGTGCCGGCTCAGGCGGGCATTCTAGGACGAAGAGAGGTGGTGACCTTTCTAGGCTGATGTCCTGGAGTACCTGAGTGCGGCAGCATGCCCTCCAGTTCTGCCACCTCGGTTCTGACCGGTGACCAGAGCGGGACGTCTTGGTGCTCTCGGTGGAGCCCCGGTGGAAGAGGGCTAGCACAGTGGCCACAGGATGAGGCTGGGTGGTGGGCGGGAAGAGCCGCACAGTGCCTGTCTGCTTGGTGAGGGTCGCGGCACCCACTTTTTTTGGGGGTGGCGGTGGCAGCATCTCCTCTCCCTTGAGTAAATTTGTCCAGGTAGAGCATGGCCAGAGCAAGAGGCTGGGACAGGGGAGAGCAGGGGCACGTTGCACAAAGGTAGTCTCCCTGATTGCAGGTACCGTGCACGGGACAGGAAGGCCACGCCTGGTCTCACACGGCACGGGGACTGGGCACGTGGCACCGAGAAGCAGGGCGGGCCTGTTGGAGGACCAGTCCTGGCTTCTGGGCTCTCCCACAGAGGGGTTTTTCGTTTGTCCTAGATTCGTTCTCCTGAATCCCTTACCCTCTCCACTCTTACTGACTTGGAAGCTGCTCTTTGTTGTAGTCGCACAGTGAGAAAGTCTGCTCAGACTCAGGTGTCCGCTGGTCTGTGTCATGAGGCTCTTCGCAGGCTCAGAGACGGGCACCCACAGCATGTGTGCACGCGTGAACATGCATTAGTGAGACTCGGGTGCGTTGCCAGGAAGAGCTTTGCTTTGCTGAAGGCACTAAAATGTAATTCAGAGACAGTTACATTGTTCAAGCAAAGCTGAAGTTGGGACCCATACTTACTTTAAAAGGTAATATGGATGATTAAGAAAATATGTCCCTGTCCCCATCACTGTTGAATGCCTCTGATGCTGCCTTCTCAGTCCAGACCTGCCTAATTTTCAAGCTAAATATACCCGTCTTTAAGCCGAAAGAGTTGATCTTAACGTATGTCTGCCACGATTTTGATGCTAGAAGAGCCCCCAGAGAGAAGCAGCATCGTAGTGCAGCTCCTCCTTCTCAGGGAGGAAGTGAGACCCAGGGAACAGCGAGCCAGGGCTGAGCTGCTCAGAGCGCGTGGGCAGCAGAGCCAGGACTGAGCCCGGCCCGGCCCGTTCCACGCCACCTCCGTAGCTCGGGCTCCAGCTCTCGGGTCCGAGCAGACTCAGTGCCAACTCTGTGGTTCCAGGTGTGTTGTTTCACCCTGTGCCTCGTTTTCCTCTTCTGTGAAACAGGGACAGTATCAGTGGTACCTGGCTCGTGCATAGGGTTACTCAGTGACTGTGAGGTCGCCCTGTCCCTCGGGGGCCGTTCTCTCCTCGACCAGATGCAGTGGTCCGCGCAGTGCAGGACAGCAGTGTGGAGGCGCGGCCTCACCGGTGGGTCTTTCTTCGCTCAGGACGGGCGTCGCTGCCAGGCATGGCTTTGCAGCAGGATGGTGGCCTTCACCTCCCAACCACCAGGCCTGGTAGCAGTAGAGCGGTGATAGTCGATGCCTGACTGGATGCTTGGGCTGGATTTGTAGATACTGAAGCTTCCGACCGAAAAGAGGCCGGAATCTCCCTGTAAAACGAGGTGGCTCTTGGGGCAGCCGTCTCCCCGAGCAGTTCGCAGGCCCTGCAGCAGCTTCCGAGTGAGTGGTGTCAACGTTCCGGAAGTGGGTCCTGGAGAGCGCGTGGCCCCCTCTGGCATCACGGGCTGCCCTGCAGCGCAGCACAGGGAGGAGCTTGGCCAGTCGCCTTGCCTCGGCCGCCGCTCCGGAGGGGAGACGGTGGTCTGGGCCGGCCTCCGTCGGCAGTGGCTGCTGTGACAGCACACCCGGAGCCTCAGGGCGCACGGTGTCGGGGAGCGTGCTCCCTGTGGCCCTGCCAGCTTCACCGTGTCGCCCGCCCACACCTCCTCCAGAGCTTCGGCTCTTAGGAGAGCTCCGTGAGCTCTTCGGGAGAGAACAGGTCGGGTCTTCCTGGACTTAACTTCTGAGTCCTCGGAGCCCAGTGTCGTCCTCTCGCTCGCTCTGTCCGCTCGAGCCTTGACTGGATGGAGGAAGGCGCTTTTCTTTAACGGCTCTTCAGCACTCGTCCAAAGCAGAAAGCAGTTTAAGGCTGTTGTCGCTGTTCGTTTGTCTCACGGTGCTAGCATAGCTCTCCCGACACCCACCCTACCTAGGAGGCACACTGCAGCACGTGCCCCAAGAGACGCTGGGGCTGGAAAGCACACATGGACGTGGGCCACCTGTGACTCAGAGAGCTCCACCTGCCCGTCAGATGCCCAGTGCAGTCACAGCCGCTCCCATGAAGCAGCTCAGCAGTGCCAGCCTGTGCGAGTGTATGGAAAGCTTGAGCCGGGTGGCTCCCGAATGGCATCACAGCTGGGCGTGCCTGTGTTACGTTGTCAGTGGAGCTGAGTCCATGACTTAAAGTCTGTGTGCCTCCAGCACGCGCCAAGGTGGTCCCCGAGCCCCAGTCACCTGGAGAGCCTCTGTGAGGGGAGCTCTTCAGCAAAGCAAAGTGCCGAGTTCGCGCTCGCGGTGTGTTGCGGAGTCTTGCCGTTGGCAGTGGGAGGAACTCCTGGCAAGGCTGGTGACTGTCTGGCCGTGTTTAAGTGCAGAAGAGCGCTAGTGGCCTCACCCTCCGGCACACAGCCTGGCAGAGGTTATGCAGAGTGCTTCCGCCTTCGGGGTGGGGCCGATTGGTGAGCTGGCTTGGCTTTGCAGACAGGCAGTAGTCAGGCCTGCTAGACCCCACCAGACGTGTGGCCGCGCGATGTGCCCCCGGCTCGCAGCCATCACAGCAGCAGCCATTTTCTGACTTGTACCTGGTCGCAGGTTCGCAGGACTGCGGGTGCCAGCAGACCTCTCCTGGCAGTGCCGTGGGAAGCCGCTTGTGCGGTCGCGGACAGGTTGTAGGCAGTGGCCGAGATCACCGCCGGAGACAGCGCCAGCTTTGTTCGTGGGTAGTTCTGACGGGTTTGCCGAGGTAGAGGAACAGAAACTTGCAGCCTGTTGTCCCAGAGGAGATGGGTGTGAGAGACCGTGATCGTTCACCCGTGTGTTCTCCCAACGTGAGTAGCAGTTACTACAGAGCCTCAACACAGGCCTGTGGGCTCTCTAGGTCTCCGCTTTGAAAGCCACAGCGAGAAGTCTCAGCGCGATGTTTGCAGAGCAGATGTTCGGGCCGTGGAGCTCCGGGCTCTGATACCTCTGGCCAGGCACCCCGCGGAGGTCTCTGCAGTCTGCCACCACCTTCCAGGGGAGCGAAGAAGTGTCTGTGTCGAGCCAGTCTCCTGCTAGGGTGATAGGGCCTGCCTCGAGCAGCCGCCCCTCCTCACCTTGCTAAGCATGAGCTCCCCACGCCTTCTGGGCTGCCCAAGCCGGGTGTCCAAGGGCACCAACGGCTGTGCTCCTCTCCCCAGGTATGGCTTCGTGGAGTTCGACGACCTGCGGGATGCGGATGACGCCGTGTACGAGCTGAACGGCAAGGACCTCTGCGGAGAGCGAGTGATCGTGGAACATGCCCGGGGCCCACGGCGCGACGGCAGCTATGGCTCGGGACGCAGTAAGCATCCGAGGGCACCCGTGTCGGCGATGTGCCCGCGTGACTCGGGGTGAACCTGTGAAGTGACGAGTACCTGAACCTTACGCTTACGTGTACCGGTGCTCCAGCCACTGGCTTTATAAGCTCTGTGTCTTGTTCATGTAGAAGCACAGACGACGTCTTTGATCATGTTTGGCTTTCTTTAATTAATGAATGGCAAATTTCTTGCTTTAATACTTTATAAACATGTTTAATGATATGTGTTTGTGTTGTTTTTTTCTGTGATGCAATTGTTCAACATAGCTTTAACAAAGACCTCAATGTTTTAATTAAAAGCTGCCTTTGAGGCTCAGATGGCTGCCTGCTCCATCTGCTGACCTTGGGTTACCCTCCACGCGTGGCTCTTTGAACCATTGTGGCCCTCGGCTGCCAGAAACAGGAAGCCATGTGACGCAGCCGTTCCCCAGTAGACCTGGGTGGTGAGGTTCCCAAGGGTTACACAGATGAGATGAAACTGAAATAGGTGCCTGAAATCTTTTTTTCTTTTTTTTTTTTTTCATTTAAAATATTCACAAAAACTTTTAATCACTATGAGTAACACCAGTAACTGATTTAGGAGTATTGTTACTTATGTCTAAATAGTTAAACTATTTGTAGTTTTAATGTATGCATATTAATTTTCAATATAAATGTTAATGAATACACTCATCACTTCACCAGTCTTCGTGTGTGGTTGCTTTTTAGCAAATCTGTTGAAAGTTTAGGGTTATGGGTGGCAGAGTTAAGACACATGTGCTGCTGTCCGGGCGGGGCTAGGCGGGGATTCAGGGCTATGTGCCGTGCCGTTCTTTGCCTTTCCCTCCCCTGAAGTAACCTTGTCTATTTGAACCTCCCAAAGGTGGATATGGTTATAGAAGAAGTGGCCGTGATAAATATGGCCCTCCCACCCGCACAGAATATAGGCTGATTGTGGAGAACTTGTCGAGTCGATGCAGCTGGCAAGACTTAAAGGTTTGGGCCCCATTGCCCTTTTGGGGTGTGGGTGGGAGGAGGTGAGAGCACCGGGTCCCGGGCAGTCCCACAATACAGGTGTGACGTGGGAGAGTCTTCTCGGAGCACGTGGGGGTTCCCCATTTTAGGGTTCCACAGGGGCACTGAGGACGTCAGCATTCCCATCTTCTTGCCACTGCTCTAAGGGTGAGCCTGTGGTCTCTGCGGAGGGCACTAACGAGCAGGCCCAGTGCAACTGATCACCAGCAGGAGAAAGGGTGGGGACCTCCACGGCAGCTGTACGTGCAGGTTCACATCAGCCCCAGGGAGCCGCCCCCCAGCCGTTCTTTCATACGCTCTATTTTTCTTGGACTGTTTGTAGTGACGCCTGCTCATTTTTTCTTTTTTTGGAGAGATTTTTGCTATAGGACACATGCGCTTTCCAGACAGACAGAGACAGAAAGCAAGAAATCGCCCCCCAGGGAGGATGGCCACACCACAATCCCTTCTTCTCCATTCTCTCCTCGGGGTCTTGGGCACACACACACACGCGCCCGGCGTCAGTTTTAAGCCACCGGGTCCGGGACACGAACCGTGGTCGACTACATGGGAGTCCAGCGACATAGCCATTATGCTAACTGCTGGTCCCAATATGCCTGCTCATTTTTTGAGGACAGGGTTGGTTTTAATCTCAACAGGGAAGAAAAGCTTACTGATGAGTGTCCTCACGTGGGTGGTCTGAGATTGAGAGGATGCTCACCGTTCCCAGCTGGCTTACTTTCTTGGTTCGTTATTAGACAAGTCATTTCTAGCCAAATGAGTGGGCTTGTTGAGGCTTAGGGGTGAATAGTTAGGAACCCTTTATATTCATATATTAAAAGTTTCACCTTGGGAACCAGCAGTTTGGTAATGGCTATGTCGCTGGACTCCCATGTAGTCAACTGCGGTTCGCGTCCCGGACCCGGTGGATTAAAACTCATGCCGGGCGCGTGTGCGTGCGTGCCCAAGATCCCGAGAGAAGAATGGAGGAGAAGGGATTGCGGCGTGACCATCCCCCCTGGGGGGTGATTTCTCGCTTTCTGTCTCTATATCTCTCTCTGTCTGTCTGGTGAGAGCATGCGCCCTGTAGCGAAAACCTCTCCAAAAAAAAAAAAAAGTTTCACCTTAATTTACTTTCACTTCTGATCCCTCCATTGCCTTTTTTTTTTTAAAGAATTATTTCATTTTATTTATTCATTCATTTATTTTAATTTGGCCAGAGAGAGACAGAACAAGAGAGAGGGAAAGTGAGAAAGCAAGCCACCAGGTCTGGGACTCAAACCATGGTTGGCCATGTGGGAGTGTCCAGCAGCTTAACCACCATTGCCACCTGCTGGTCCCCAAGAGACAGATTTTTGCTATAGGGCACGGTGCTTGCCAGAGAGACTGAAAGAGAGAGAGAGAAGGTAAGAACCTACCTCCCCAGGAAGGATGGCCATACCGCAGTCCATTCTCCTCTTGGGACTTTGGACATGCACGCACACGCGCCCAGCATGAGTTTCAAGCCACCTAGTCCAGGGCTCGAACTGTGATCAGCAGGCATGTGGGAGTCCGGCAACATAACCATACACCATCTGCTAGTCCCCAAAGATGAGGCCTTGAGAATGTGGAGCCCATGGTTGGCCTTAGCGGAAGAGTGGTGTTTGCGAGTACCTTGCGGTGGCTGTCAACACTATAGCAGGCCTTTGCCGAGCACTGCTGACCAGGTTGTGTTGCTGAGGAACAACTCTGGGACTCAGAGTGTTGCTGGGCGCCATGGGTGGACACTGGGAAGCTGCTCCCTGTGAGCAGAAAAGGCCAGCCCTTCATGTGCTGTCACTGACACAGGATTGTAAGGTTAACAAAACTTTTCAATTCTTTGGCAAAAATGGAGCCTGATTGGGCCAGCAGGTAGTGTAGTAGTTAAGGTACTGGACTCTCACATGACAGAC